CCCCAGCCACTCCCGGCCACTGACAGAGGCTGGGTGCTGAGCTAGATGCAATCTTGAGCTGATGCAACACAGAGATTTTTGTTGTATCACTGATGGAAAAATGATGTAACACGATACATTACGCAAAAACATGTAACATTTCTTCTTTAAGCAGCAACCATGGTTTGTAAGCCACACATTAAAATGCCCTGTCTGCAGATTGCATTGTACTTTTGAATTCCTAAACTGACCAGGAAATTGTCTACAGAACCAAAGGTAATCTGAGAAAGTAGCACCCCATCTGAATAACCTTAGCCACAAGTTTTGAAACAAGATATGCTCATTTACATCATCTGTTAAATCCACATCTGCCACCAGGGTACAAGTCAAAAAAGCCTAGTCTCTCAAAGTGAGCTTCACCACACAATGTATGTGTGGCCCTAAATTTTGGACTTGTGATTTATGTGGAACTTAGATGAACCGTGACCATAATACACAAATAGATTAATTTACCATTAGTCCAACTTATTTCAAATATTAAGATAAATCTCAAGGAACTGGAGAATATTTCACAGCATATTAAAACATGACACTGCTAGGTGACATCTGATACTTCTTCAAAAGAACATAATATGAAAGTATCAATTAGAATCTACTGACAAAAATATATAAAACATTCTGTTTGCTTACTTCTTTAATTTCTATTTCAACAAACTTTTCCCCTAATTTTCTAAAATGTGTTATTGAAAATCTCCACAGTATACTACATAACTGCATTACAAATTAAGTTGCTTGCTCTTCTATTAAATGTATTTATTCAACCAGTTGATCATATCCTTTCTTCCTTCCTCAATATAAGGCTTATCTTGAGGATTGATATCTTCTCTTCTGCGATGTACAAACCCATGGGTTTGTCCAGGATAAATTTTAACTTCATAATCGACTTTACAATTTTTCTTTAGCTTCTGCTCCAGCAGTGTGACCTGTAATATACAGCACAGTAGTAGCTTTATTAATGTAGCCATATTCCATGCTGCCACTCCTCATCTTATTCATAATTCAACTCCCTAATTTGTCATTCAGGCTAGACACTAATAACCAAGCTCCATACGGGCAAAACAAAAAGTAAAATTACATAAAGAAAAAACACCTTTGCAGTAAGGGTGTAGAAAATTTGTTAGAATATAAGGGCAGGTCCAACAATCTGCAAAGATACAGATATAACAAAACTATTTCCTATATGTGAAATATATGACAATGCTAAATACACTACAACTGAACAAAAAGCTTCTAATGGACACCTATGAATGCAATTAGGTGTATCCAACACGGTTTATGGGTTCCTAGGACCAATAGAAAACAGTGCCATACAGCAAAGGATAGCTCCCTGAGTAGAGTACCCCAAAACAGCAATGGGATTTTGATAAAACTTTGCTACCTGGGTTACTGGCCATACTTTTACAAAAGAGACTTACAAAAAAAAATAAAATATCAAGTTTTCATTCTTTGCCTAGGTTACATTAGCCCTATGTCTATCTCCATCCTTCTGTTTATTTTTTGACCTTCAAGCATTATTATGAGGCTGAGTTTTGACTCCCAGTTCAGGATGGAAATTTAAACATGCAGAAATGAAGGAAGACGGAGTTTATTAGCATACCTGATGAAGGGGAATGAAGTCATCTTTTTCAGCAAAAATGAAAAATGTAGGGTTCAGGAGATTGGATATATCATCAGAATCCTTGATTAGTCCTGGAAAACATTAAAGAAACAAAAATACTCTTCAATTGACTTTTAAGGTGAAATCCAGACTCAAATATAGCACTCTGCTTCTGCAGTGAAAAGTTTTCATGTCTCATGCAATATGTAGCCATACATACTAGCTTTACTTTCAAGATACTGTAACCATGGCTCCTAGAAGAATACCTTCCTAGATTAAAACTCTTTTTAAGCCAGTTTTTTAAGATACAGACTGAGTATCTGAATTAATAAGACTTGAAAGATGCCTTCTGTGCATACAAGCTTGAGTTCTTTTGAACTGACTAGGAAAGTCAATGCTTTAATAAGTAGCCCAAAATTTACATTCTGAGAACATTAGCAAAATCAGTTTAGCTATCCCAGCTTCTTGAGCAGAGCATAAAAGGAAAGCTGGTGTTAAAATAACCACAACCTAACTTTACAGAGTAGCTACAGCAAAAATAACACACTCTGCTCCCGTGTGAAGTTCTAGCTTTGCAGCATGCGGAGCAGTAGTAAACAGGAAAAGGGAGCTAAATTGGGAAGATGACTGAAGGACAACACGTATGTGTGTCCAGACCTGAAATAAAGACATAGCTGCTATGACCCATTCTGAAACTAGGAAAAAATATCCTCACCACCATCTTCTTTGCATAATATCCTTCCTACTCTGCTGAAAATATTTCTCTTCATCAGCTGACAGCCTGATTTGAAGAAATAATGCTAGATCGAGTATTTAAGCTACACAATATACATATGCATGTGTACCTGCTTGTATTACATCCTTGTATTTACCTACCATAGAGAGATACACCAGCCTTTAATTCCGGGTATGTCATCATCAGGTGATGAACAGCGATACCACCCCAACAAAAACCAATGACCCCTAATTTCTTTGCACCACACTGTTCCTTTAGATATTTCAGGACAGCATCAGCTTCTCTGGAACATATAAGAAAATGCAAATTAAGCACCCATAGTAAAACCAGTATTTGGAAATATAAAAAGACAATACAGAGACGCATATAAGCATCCCCATATCATGGTGCCACTATATTTTCTTTCATACACTTTAAATAAATCATTATTTCAGACAAATATTAGGGGTTGCTAATCTGTAATCATCAGAAAGAGAAAAAAAAAACCTGAATGGAATTAAACAAAAATGGAACATAAATAACATACATCAAAGGAAACCTAAAGGGATGGAAAGTAGACGATTGATTAAACACCTACCTAAGAGTTAAAAAAGCTTAAAATTCTCTGAGAAGCTGGATGAATTTTTGCTTTGTAAACATAGATAGAAAAAGGAATACAAACCTCTCTAGAGAATACTATTCATCAGACAGTCAAAATGCTGACAATAACTGTAAGTTAGCATCAGAGATATTTGCTGCGGGAAAGTCAATGTAACAAACACAGTTTCAGCATTTACAATGTAGCTTGAAATACACCTTGCCCAGATGCTGTATTCTGAAAATAGCCATTTACCCCTGAAGCAGGTGTCACCATGCAGAGACAGTAAAGGAAAAGCATTGATGGGAGAGAGGTATCAGTTAAGTCTTTTATGCCACCTCAAAACTATATTTTCAGCCCCAGTTCCTTGCCCCCTGGGGCACACAAACTATATACACTGGCAATACATCAGCCTCACAAATACCACATGATCCATCAACACACACAGACACACAGAGAAGCAAATCAAGTGCCAAAAAATTATTTCTTCACTGGAGCTGACACTTGAAACATGTGAATCGCGCTTAAGAAATGCCAGTCAGAGCCCTTCCCATTGCAGCAGAGATTGGACAGATTCCAAACTAAAAGTTTCCACGACAACTGACCCTTCTGAGACAGGAGCTCTCTGGAAATGATTCAGTTATGTCTTCCATAACCTTCTCACCAAATACCTAAGACCAGCAACCTCGAATGTAGCTACTCCCAACAGTCCAAGACAGACAGTTGCTATCCCAGGAAGTTGATTAGTTTGGTCTCTAATTAGTCTGACCCCTTCTCAGTACTGTCTTGCCAACAGCTTCCTTCTGTGTTATTAAGGCAGCAGAGCACCTCTGCTAGTGACAGGTCTTTGCTGATAAATGCTCGGGCAGCGTTGCACACAGGAGGGGAAGACATGATATCTTGGGCAGGACTGAAACAACAGGAGACTTTACTTACTAACAAGTTAAAATTAACCAACAGTTTAAATACCAAGCTAACTGGAAGCCATGACAAGCCACAGATCACCGTCTGAGCTGTGTTCCTCAAAGACACCTTCATGTGTGAAGCACTCCCCTTGTGTTTCTCAATGGTCCCTACATGCACTTCTTCACTGAGGACATGAGGGTCACTTACCATACAAGCAGCCAAATGGCTGCAGGGCACTACCCCTACGCCAGGATTTAGAGACCAGAAGATTCTAGTCCAAGTTACAGAGAAGAAAACACTTTAGCTTGGCAAAGGACCTTGGCGTCCTGTAGCAGCCTGAGTTCAACAGCCCAAGAACACACCTGGTCTACAAACAGTAGCAAAACTCTTTCAATGAAGAGCAATAGTTGGACCTTGCCTATTATTTTAGCTGTTCCAGCCGTCATTCTTCCTCCCTCCTTCAAATATTTCATCCTGTTTGGTTTTGAGTCAAATCTGAGTAACTCTGTCAGTGTCCCTTCTACTCACAGTTTTCTGTCACTCTGCCTAGGACACACACATTAACAAAAGAATCCCAAGGTGTTAATCAGCACGCTGAAGAAATCGGTCCTATTTCCCTCCAATGGTGGTGTGTTTCTGCTGTGAGGAGACATGCTAATTTGGACCACACGGTCTGCCTTTGAGCAGAGGAAGAAGCCCTAAAGCTGCCTGTTAGATTGTCTCAGGAAAGAACAAAACAAGAGGTGCTGCAAACACTGCTACAGTTCAGGAAGACATCAGTAAAGTCTGGTTCAAAATCTGCAAGAGAAATCTAAAATAGGTATTATAGACCCCATTACTAGAAGAAAATTATGAGTTAAGGACATTCTAGTATAACTGAGCTTATCTGCATCCAGGAAATCTGAGCAAAATGCCAACACAGAAAAGCGGATGCAGTTACACCAACACCTGGACAGAACTGGAACCAACAGAGTTTCTTCAGCAATGGTGCCTGGGTAACATCTTTAGGAGCTAATGAAGATGTCCTTGATCCCACTAACTACAAGAGCGTATAGTCAGCATGTAAGTACAAGCTTATACCTTTCCCTTGGCCTTTGCTAAGCCAAGAGTTTGACTTTAAGGTTGTAGCAGCAAACAGCTCTATTCTCTCACTGCTATGTAGCTGTGCAATATAACTAAGGTGCTAGCAGAGGACTCTTGGCTCATGTTGTCCAAAGTTAGCATTTTTTTTAAAGGCGGCCAACACACCATGAGTTCAAATCACAGCAAACTTGGTCTTAAAAATTCTTTACAGTGAAAAGGCGAGGCTGCACACCAAATCTGTGTTAAGACCCCTGAACACATCCAATCCTCCCTCCCCCAGGGGTTTGCTGCCAGGACTCAGGGTCAGTCTAGAGACAGTGCAGCTGAGGGCTGCTCCATTCCTTCTAGTGACCATGGGGAGAGGCTCCCAGACAGCAGCTTGACCTCAGACCTGCCTCAGTTGACTCTGACTGCCATCCTAAGTGCCTGCCCTGCCCATCTTTCTAGAGTACTGTGGGATGGGGCCCTGGCACTGCCAGCCGATACTCCTCTTTGGCTCTGAGCACCCTGTCTCCTAGTGAGCCGCTGGTCCTCACTGTGCCCTGATAACAGATGATCCAGCCATCAGCTACCTGGGGCAACTGCTGAGTGTTCTTGAACTCTGTTCAAGGCAAAATAAAAGGTCACTGATTCTGTCTGCTTCTAAGGAGTCATTAAAAAAAGGCTACCTTCACTGGTAGGTTAGCTGCATCCAATCTCAAAGCAAAAAAAAAAAATAAAAAGGAAAAAAAAAGCAATATCTGACAGCAGCATGCAACATGATATCCAGCTTCCCGACGTCTTACTTGTTTATTTTCCTGGCATCTCGATTTTTCAGCCAATCATCAAACTTGGACCAGTCATCAGAAGGCTTCCAAGCTTCTCTCCCTGCAAAAAAGTCTGGGCAGATGGCTCTGCACACACAGACACACAAGCGTGTGAAATCAAAATTGAATTAATTAATCAAACACTGAGGTTTTCTGGCCCTTCATAGCATGTAAAGTTTCTATTCAGGCATAATTTTGTTTTGGGTTTTTTTTTCCTGAGAAAGTAATGTTTTTAAACACCATTGTTAACTATTCTATAGAAACTCCCATGAGCTTTAGAAAACATTTATAGGTATCTATATAGGCTTTTTTCAATGACTAAACCACACAATACAATTTGTGATACAAATCTAGAAAATAGAAATATTTTTATCCCTAGTATTTTACCTATTTTGAGTATCTAATTTGAAACCATATACAGTAAAACAATAGATTATCTTGTAAAAGATGATCAAACTCGGTCCTGATCACAAATATTTGAGAGTTTGCATACAACATAATACCATTTAACATAAATCCATCGTTAATGGCTTACATTTAAACAAAGACAATTACATAAAATAGTTATTTACTACAGAGCACATCACAAGGCTTACTTATGAGTGAGAAAAAAAAACCCAAACACCTGATGGACTGAGGTCAGCAACGAACAAGTGAAGGGAAATTGTGTGGGAAGAAATGGAGGAGTGTTTTACCACAGACCTCATTTGGTGACTGGAAAAAGGGAAGTACAGTAAGAGTGCACTCAGTACTAAAGAGTTCCTGCCTGCATCACAGGGGTGCCCAAACACTGGCTCAGGATGACCTCAGCCAAAATGTGTTACATGACCAGCAGCTGAGTTGTGATGGTGCAATCACCAGTGGATAATAGAGTCTCCTCATGCAGAAGGAAACAAGCAAGGATTCCAGAGGCTGCCATCACTAGGTCGCTCCCGGAAGCTGCTCTGTGTTCTCCCAAGTCCAGTGCAGCAATGGGATCCCTGGGAATCTGCTATTATCTTTCATTTATTAAATGCCTTTGGCTCTCTTCCTCCTCAGACACACAGTATGTATTTCAATGGTCATGGTGAAATGACTGGATCAGTTTGGCCTAAAGCAGAACAAAGTACATTGCCAGCATTTTCATTTTTTTTACTGTGTTTGATCATTTCTATGAAAAAACATTGACATCTACAGCATACTTGTGTTTGGAATGGTATGGGCAAAATTGCACAGCCTTTGGATAAGTACCTGTCAGAAACGCTATGTATTGCTTTGAAGGCCATGCAGAAGAACAGGTTCTTCCCCACTCAAATTAGCCTGATAAGATACCATAAGCCATCAGTCCTAATGTGGTCTCTCATAGCTTTGCATCCCATACTGCACTAGAGCTATTTTCCTCTCAATAAACATTGGTGCACCAGTTCAGGAGCATCTTGAAGCAATCAGGGAAGACACACATGGCCTCTCTTCATTCAGACACTGCTGCATGAAAACTCTCAGCTCTCCTCCCGCCTAGAACAATGGAAACCCCAGCCTTCTTCCCTTGACCACTGTGATATTAGCAGTACAGGCGGAGAGAAAGAAGGTGTTACAAAAAGTATGACATGTCATGAATGACAGGGAAAAATTACAGGAAGGCAGTGTGGAGAAATACCAATTCATCAGACAGTGGGTACTTTTGACTGAGTGGACTCTTACTGTAATAAGGAAGCACACTGTCATACTAGCAATTCGCCAGCACGCTGCACAGCATGAAAGGTGTACGTCCGGTCTCACATTGAGAATAATTGCATTTTGTCACAAGACAAACATACTTCCAATAATGGAACAGAATAGGGGACGTCAAGTCCTCAGGAAAGACAGTAGCAAGGAGCAGACTATAGACCAAATCATCATTCTAGTGTGTCAGAAAACCCTAATCCTGACAAAGGTAGTATCTTTATCTCACAGAGACGTAGAGCTGCTTTCAGCTCCGCAGACAGATCTCAGCCATGTGGCAGCTGTCTGCTGACATCTGACTTCCCTCATGCTCCACAGGCTGAAAGGCATCATCTCTCAAAACTAGACCACTACAGAATTGGGTGGAGGTTTGCTTTTTGGAACTGCAGGCCAGTCCCAACTTTATATGAATGTTTGTAATGTATACTGTAAATGGAATACCTTGCAGTATATCCAGTTATCCCAAGATGTTGCTGCATTTTAGGATTTAACTCCTGTAGGGCACCAAAAACGAGCATGAAAAATCTGCAGGGGGGAAAGGGATCGTATTTCATACCCCATGTGTGCATATGAGATATTCAATATCATATTCAAAATATATGACATTTATTCATATTTCTGCTGATGACAATTTTTTTAAATCTCATCATATAATTTAGTTTGCATGACTTTACTTTAAAAAGACTTCTAAAAACAAAATACACACTTCTGTTTCAGAATACACTATTTTAAAAGCCATTTCATATTGCTGGGAAATGCATCAAAATCACTTTTACTGCATCCTTGTTTTCAATATTCTACGTGTTCTATGAGTGCAGTCATTTCTTCTGTAAACAGCAAACTATGAAGGAAGCCTGCTGTACTCTGCAGCAGTTCACAGCAATGTTCCTTTGTGTCTTTGTATTATGCAAATATATCACTTAAATTGTCCTGGTAATAGTTTCGTCTCATGTATGGGAATAACAGTTCCAACGTAAGGCTAGAAATCATAAAGAGTGGGATTTCCTGGAGAAGAAAAGATTTCTTACATGTATCCATTAGTTGTTAGCATATCAGCCATGTATCTGGTGTTTGGGAGTTGCCATCCAAATATATCATGAATCACAATCACAGCTTTGTCAGTGCTTGCGGGTGGTTTGCAAACATACGCCTTGATGTGCTCAACTTGTACTTCCTGCCCACAACCCTCATAGTCAAACCTGTCTCCAATACCACATGGGCAGGGCCTCGATTCATTAGCCATCTCAGAATCTGCAGGAAAGCAAAAGAAGACAAACAGTAATATAATTTATTTGCAGTAACAACTGTGATTATGGGTCATAATCTTCATGCAGTCCCTGCAGTCCCCTCCAGACACCTAGTAATACCCACTTGGTACTGCAAGGTTAGAAGTAAAAGCTCCAGATGTTTCCTGTAAACAGGCTCTTGACACCAGCCTTCTCTGGTTGCCCTACATATTCATGAATTCCAGGTCAGTCAGCATAACCCAGGAGTGCGGTAAGGCCAGAAGAAGGGCTTATGTCAGCCCACCATTCCCAGCTTTGTGCCTGGAGCAATCCGGCATGTGATAACTACATTTCCATGTGATGTCCCCACATGCTGCGCTTCATAACCATTCCTCTCACGTGGTCCTCCTCACAGGCTGGCGCCTGGTAACCCCTTGCTATTACTCCTGTGAGACCCCACTGTTAACATGCTGCTTTTCTGACTATTTTTTCCCTTCAAGTTTTCATTGTGTATGTCCCCTTTCCTCTCCTCTATGGAGGATCCAAGGCTGCTGCAGTTGCTGCTTACATGTGCTTTGCTGTCCCCCTTGTATCCCCTGCTGCCTACAGCCCATTCCCAGGGAACCTATCACTAACTAGCATCTCTCAAAGTTCTAATAAATCAACTCAGAGAAGGTAAATCAGCAGAGGGTTTTCTCTGAGAGTTACACACTATGTAATCTGAATTGAGAACTGTTAGAAAAATAGACATATATCAGTGTTGTGTATATAACATGTCCTCATACATCACAGATACGTACCTTCTCCAGAGATATACATTTCAAAGGACAAACTAGAAGCTACTTCATTACTCCTCAAGTGAAGAGAGGTTTCCAACAAGTTTATGACCTAAGAGGTCTTCTCAGAAGGAGCCCTCAAGCTCAATTTCCTGTTCCTTTGAACTGGAGATAGGCCACTGGAGCACCTTTTTAAACCCAACTAACTTTTGGTGCCCCCTACTCTTCCCCCCTCCACCAAACAGTAGGTGGTCACACACAGAGCGTTTTTTCTACCCCAGTTTGAGAAGCTGTTTAATCTAACTCTGCCATCACTCTTAACTGATCAAAATTGCATTGTTTGCTTATTAACAAGAGCTAGTTTCTCTTCCCATGTAAATGCATGCACTGGAACGATATTCCTTGGTCTGGCTGGTCCCCTTGCTAAAGGGAAATGCAGCATGCTGGCAATAAAAATCAAATGCACTCCTCAGTGCTTAACTACTTTTTGTTAGGAGTATATCTTAACCACTTATCTCCTTCTAGATGTTCCAATTCAAACAGCTCTTTAATACACTTCCAGTACTCCCTCCCCCCTTCAATTTGTCTGCTACAAATGTGTGCCACATGGTAAATGGTATTAAAAGCAAAACAAGAAAATACAGTGAACAACAAAACAAATTACTCCAAATCCTGCCTCTTTACACTAGTTATGCTCTTTTCACAGGACAATATGCTTTGGGGTGACACACGGAGAGGTTCCCAGCACCAAGAACTGGTCCCCTTTAAGGACGTCTCTCAACAGTGCTTTTTGAACAAAGTTCGTCTCCCGACCTTCTGAAATCAGTCACCATATAACCTCCAAAAATGCAGCTGGAGTTTAACCTGCCAGTTAGACTGACTGCAGCTTTGCCAGCATGACACTGAGGCAGAAGTACCTTTTCCAAATCTCGGGCAAAGCAAGGGCATGAGACTTCAAATGCACTCTGTATAACTAACCAGACTTAGAACGACTCTCTTACCATCGTGCTTGCTGACTGTTTTCCTTCACAAGCAGCTCATCTGAGCAGTAAGGTGTATGAAAAATTATTTACATTTAAGATTTCTTTGAAAATAAATCTGTTTAAAAATACATGTTAAAACACAAGCTGTGTTTAAACAAAAATAACAGTATTGCCAAGTTTTAATAAACAACAACATGCTGCATTATTAAGTTTTTTTAAAAAATATAACAACTTGTAGAATGTTTACAAATTATTCACAGAAAGGGGTAAATCATCTTGTGCTGCTGAGACTACCCCTACAAACGTGCCGAAATTCACAGCATAACCTTCCTTTGAACAAAGTGAATGCTTGGTAAAAAGTACTAATTAGACTGACATGGATGCAGATTTTCAAAAGTATGTTAAGAATAGGGGAAGGGCCTCAATTCACAGGCCCTATTCACAGAAGGGATTAATACAGAAGTTTAGCAGACCATGAGAAAAACACTTGTTTCTCCTCGTACCCCCAAAATTTATCTGGTACAGCTGTGAAACTTCAAATGAAATACAGTTCAAACTTGTCACAGCTCAGGCAGATGAAGATTTTTAACGTATCAACTATTCACATTTGATCTCCGCCTAGGAAATCAGCTGCACTGCCATCTCTTTTGACTTTTCTTTCAAAGCTTTATGAAGTGTGAATTTTATCATGACTTTAAAATGCTGCATGCCTTCATGCCTTGCCTTTCTTTTTTTTTCCAAAAAATTACTCACTATACAGTCTCACAGTTTTATACTTTACAGTCTCACAGTTTTAGACACTTTGTCACATTTTATCATGCCACACATGACATATTTACAGCCCAGATCTGGTATTTCCATTGCCTTGATTTACCCTTCCCAGTTGCGAGATTTAGGCTATCACATAAGCCCCCTCTATAAAATAAAACCAAACAGCAAAACAATTTTGGTAAGACCCAGTTGAGGCAGAGAGTCCAATCTGTGAACTTCTAATATTGCAGCCATAGCACAACAGCATCTGTGCTGTTCTCCCTCCCACAGTGGTGAGCCTGGGGATACAGCATCAACACAGAAATACATAACAAGATTCAAAACAGCTCTAGTTTGAAACACGTCTGTGCCTTCTCCTTCATCCCTCTGTTTATTCTTCCCATTGCTCAGAAACACCTCATTGGCCCTTCTCCTGCTTCCTCTACGACATGTCATCAAGGTGGCAACTCCCTGTCTTCTCATCCAGCGAGTTCTGATCCTCAAGTGACAGGAGTGCCAGACACAAAACTGGGAAAAATGGTCTCCACAACAGTCCATACTATAGCAGAGGCTGCTTCTCCTACCTTTAAACAAGCACTGGCGATGCTTGGATGGCAGAAGTTCAGATTTACTAATTGCTGTTCTTTGAATGCTACTTCTTGAGTGACAGATATTTGGATTGCTTAAGGTACGTCCCCTCTCAACTGAGTTTTAGTTTGCTGAGTCATTTTAACGTGATTTTGCACTATTTGGCCAACCAAGTTTAAGTAACAGAGAATTACAAGGAGATTAACTCAGCATTTTGGACTTAATACCATTTGTCATGGTTAAAATTCCCTTAAGCGGCTCAGTATACCTCCATTTATATTCATTTATACAAGAAAAAAAGATCTTACTCATGATGAGCAAGCATAACCAGAATACCCTCAGGGTGCAATTCAAATCATGCCTCTTCCAGCTCATTGGCTTATCAAGTTTTAATGATATCCCAAGGCAATCTTATTTTGCCATGTACAGGAGATAAACCGATAAACATTCAGAAGTGCAAAGGAAATACAGGGTGTGACAATGTTGTATCACAACCAGGGCTCCCTCTGAATAACTAGAGTCCTAAGGAGGAGGTGACATTCCACATTTTATCACAATCCAGCAGGCTACAGTGTCCTGCTGCATGCAGAGACAACATTCAGCAGCTTTGCTCGCAACAGCTTGCCACTTACTAGGAAGCCAGGTTTCCTCTGACAGTGGTGTACCTTTACTGCAGGATTTGACAGGGACCATTCAGAGTCTTGATTACTGTAGTTAGAGCAAAACCCCCTAAAAGTCTTCTTCGTGACAATCAAGGAGAGGGGCCCCACCTCGTGGACATTTCCTGGAGCGAGTATGGCTGTGAAGCTGTTAAACACGCTGCTTCTAATGCAGTACTGAAAAGCTAGCTATGATAGCAAACAGCATCAGATCTCGCCTAGAGTTACGTCTGGGCTGAGCAGCTAGGGGTTATGCGCAGAAAACACCTCCTTCCTTTCTCCTGAGGCAAACCATCCATCCCTTTCCACAGGTGTGAGGAATCCTGCTTCAATATGTCTTTTAAAGACCTGGAGGAAAGTTTACATGCTGCCTGAAAACTCCTTACCTGCACACTGAGGAGGGGGGATAAGGGCAGAGGGGAACGAACCGGGATGAGGTCGGGGCATCCACCGCCACCAAGGTCAGCCAACCGAGCCTGGGAACAATTTATCATGGGTCCCAGAAGCCATGGCACCCGTGGCCATGGGCTGTGAACAGCAGGAGAGCCTGGATCCCCAGCATGGCTGGAGACATGCCGTGCCAGCCCTGATGACCCGGGCTCAGCACATTTGGAGAAGAATACAGGCAGGCTTTCACACCTCTTCTATAAAAGCTGTTTACACAACCTGCAGCTGTGTCCCATCCATGCTATCCCACAGCTACAAGACCTGGCTCATTAGCTTCATCTAAGGAGGCTCCCCACTGAATTCTTATTTGTGTAGTATTTGGGAAAACAAACAGGAGAAAGCTGCTGCGCATGCAATCTCTGTTTCCAGCCCACTTCAAGCAGGTTTTTAACAGCAATAATGCAACTGACATTTTTTAGTTCAGGACAACCCACAGCAGACGCTGCTTTCCCAGCTCCCTCAAATTTATATTTTCACAATTAGCAAAAGCTTCATCATGCTCATCCCTTGTCTCCTACAAAAATGACATTATGTATGGCACTGCCTTCACAAACCCACAATATTTGGAAGATTTTTCTGAGGTCATGAAGGCACACAGGGACAAGAGTGGTGGTAATGGTGCAGGATCGGAACCTGGACATTTGGCTACACAACACAGAGCTAGGGATCTGGTATGGCCATTCAGGGACGTGAGCTAACACAGATTTGGGTTATCATGCAGAAAGCACCAGGCTGCCACAGGGATTCTGGGGGTCAGAGCAAGTTTGAGGTTGAAAGCGCTTCTACAAGCCACCTCATCCGACCACCTGCTGTG